TCTCAGATGAGTTTTAAAGAACTGAACGATCCTGGATCATGTCAAATCGTCAATATCCAAATTCAGCTAACCGAGTAAACCAGCTACGAAGAACAGACCCCAGGTCTTTGTAACAAGTTGGCTTGTAATGTGGGTGTTTTGTTTATTTATTATTATGATTTTTATATAGTTTTTCCTTTTTTTATTTTTTTATTTTGCTTTGCCTATGTTATATGTGGACAGAGAATCATTTTCTTTGTGAATCTGTGTATTCAATAAAACTCATTTGACAAAAATTAAAAAATAATGCACACCCAAGGTGGAACAGCCACTATGCTTTGTGATGTGGGCACATGACCACTTTTTAATAATTCAATGGCCCATCATCAGTTATTCCTGACTTATAAATTCACAATTCAAAATCAATTATTTGTTTAACCATCTCTCAACCCTGACAAGCAAGCTTGTAATAAACTCCATTTTAAGTTTGTTTTGGTTAGATCTTTTTTTAAAATGAAATCACACTAGTTAGTTGTTCTAGTTTGTTGTGGTCTAGTCATGCACAACACACACCTCTTCAGTTGGAATAAAGGCACTGGGCCCGGAAGGCAACACCTCAGGGAGGTCATCTGCTTCGTCCTGAGGAAAAAATAAATACAAAAAGCCTTAAAAATCCAGATGAAAAGTTTTGGAAAATATGAGCACAATCAGAGAGATATTAATATCTCTTATCATACAGCTGGAACAAAGCTATTGTTTCACGCTGATAACTGCTTAGTAAAAAATACATGAGAGTGAGTCATTTGCACAAATCAGTTCGTTTTGAAAATGATTCAGCAGTCCTTAAGGGTTCATTACGGGCTTTAAAAATAAACTTATTCTTCATTCATTAGTTTTCCTATGGCTTAGTCCATTTATTCATGGGTCGCCACAGTGGAATGAACTGCCAACTTATTCAGCATATGTTTTACACAGTGGAAGCCCTGCCAGCTACAACCCGTTACTGAGAAACATCCATACACACACATTCACACACATTCACTACAGCCAATTTAATCAATTCCTTTATACCGCATGTCTTTGGACAGTGGGGGGAAACCTGAAGGAAACTCCGCGCCAACACGGGGAAAACATGCAAACTCCACATAGAAATGCCAAGGGACTCAAACCAGCGACCTTCTTGCTGTGAGGCAACAGTGCTAACCACTGAGCCCCCGTGTCACCAAACTTATTTTTGAAATAAACTTATCTTATGTTGGTAAAATTGTCACACAATCAAGTCTTATATAATATAATAATAATAATAATAATAATAATAATAATAATAATAATAATAATAACAACATCTAATATTTCATTGAAATATTTCACATTTCAAGCTTTCTTTTGGTCTCATTAATCAAACTAATACATTAGTTATTATGTTAATCAAGTTTATATATTTTAGCAAGCAAATATTTGTTTCCTACATTTGTTTACTTTTTAACAGTTACAATTGTGAGAAATAAAGTCAAAATTCTGCATTTTAATTTGATTTATTAGCCTCCAAATGTACATATCTGTTTATATCTTACTCATTTCAATGAATTGTGAGGGGTAAAGGTTTTAAAATCTTAAACTGGAACAAAATATAACATACTCGTGAGATTAAAACGTATTTGTTTATCATTTTACTTACTTTGGTGGCGGAAACGAACTCGAAACTGTTCAGACTGGTTCAATCCGACTCGTAAACAACAACAAGTGAAATGATAGATTCACTCAAAACAGCAACTAAAGCCTCACATAGACATTGACCGACTCGTAACGACAAAACCATAACGAATACTGCTAACGTTAACGAGAATTCAGGTATAAAAGCACCGACGATAAACTTCACCTGTGAGCCGTTTACGAAGATGCCTGACTAACGTTAAACGCCTGAATTCACCGGCTCAGTCTGTCTGACCGAATATTAAACTCACCTTCATCAGACGTGTTTATGTGTTCGGTAGACTCAGGTGAAACAGAATAAAGATGAAGTTAAGTCCCGCAGGGTTTGTGTTTTATGATTTCATTGTGCCTGTTGGAGTGTAACATTAGTTTTAGGAAAGCAGGAAACGCACCGGCAGGAGGCGTGGCTACTGAACACACAGACCCGGACTGTTGCATCACCTCGCCGGCGCAGCATGACGCAACCCGCCGGTAACAGAGAGCAGAGCTACCGGCTCCAGTTTTAACTGTTAATTTGGTAAACTGCAATTACCTTATCAAATATGAGCTGCCGGTTTAGTATTAATACTGCTGTAATTCTTTAAAACACTTGTAAGACACTATAGACGATCTTGTTAGAAAGTATTAAGGAGCTTTTGTTAGATTATATTGGAACTTTCTTTTTTTTCTCAAATATTTTGTACGCATTTCTAATATATCTATTTTTTTATTAAATATATTTGAGATTAAAGGGATAATTCACCTAAAAAAATGAAAATTCTGTCATCATTTACTTATTCATTTACATTTACTTTTTAAACCTATTTGAGTTTTATTCTTCTGCTAAACATGAAATAAGATACTTTGTAAAAGGCTAGAAATTAAAAAGCCATTGACTTCCTTAGTAATTTCTTCCTCACCATGGATGTCAATAGCTGCTTGTTTTCTGATTTCCGTCTTGTTTTGTGTTCAACAGAAAAAAAGTTTAACCACATGGAGGTGAGTACACACACACACACACACACACACACACACACACACACACACACACACACACACACACACACACACACACACACACATATATATATATATATATATATATATATATATATATATATATACATACATACATACATACATACATACATACATACATGCTCAGTCAATACTTATGCCTTGTTTTGTAGTATAAATATACAAACACTATAAAATCAAGATACATGATGCACTTATTTGTTATATGAATTTATGCATCAAATGTAGGGTAGAGTGGGGACAGTTTTTGCATTTCCTTTAGTTTCTCAGAGACAGTTTTTCCCCCAAATTTTTTTTAATAAACCCACATCTGTTGGACACCCACCCACATTGCTATAATATGTGTACATATAAAAATATATGCAGAATTTAACCTTAAACACACAAAGTCAAACATTGTAACATTTATTAAATTGTAATAATAAAAATAAAAATCAGGTTGACTTTTATTTTTATGGTAAACAGACTAAATGTAAATTAAATTAATGTGTTAAATTTGCCATTTATATATATATATATATATATATTAATTATATATATATATTAATAGTATTTTACTGAAAATCCAGACCGAACCTTAACTAAACTACTTCTTTGAACTTTGAAATTAATTAATTAAAGCAAAGAAAAGATTTTTTTCAAATTAAGTTACATTGAAACTGATCTAATTTAAATCGTACATTGTTAATATGGCAAGCTTTTAAATTAATTTTGTAATTGGAGACAGTTGCAACATCCTCAACTTTGTCAATCCCGATTAAACTGTCTATGCGACATAATAGCTTTAATGCTTGATAGCTATACCTATTTGAAGCAAAGTGATTTAAGTTATACGAATGAATGATGTTTCACAAAAGCAGATTAAAGAGTATTTCTAAACATTAAAAAAATAACTTTTTTTTTTTCATCTCATTTTCACCTAGTTATCAGGAGCCGGGTCTTGCAGGCAGCAGTCTTAGGAGAGAACTCCCCCTCCCCAGATACTTCCTCCAACTTCTCAAGGCGTTCCCAGGCCAGCGGAGAGACATAGTCCCTCCAGCGTGTCCTGAGTCTTCCCCAAGGCCTCCTACTGGTGGGACATGCCTGGGACACCTCCCTAGGTAGGCGTCCTAGTGTAGATTGACCATATAGATTTTTTTATACTGACAGAATAGACACATGGCTGATTTCTCTCCGATTAAAGGAGGGTCTAACTGAGAATATGTAGTATAAATATCATCACTAGTTATTTCCAGAATTGAGAAATAAGTCTAGTGGAAACTGCCCCATGTTGCAATCGTCCCCACCTTCCCCTATATGTAAATCTACACAATGTCAAGTGTATTTTTCTTACCACTTTAGCAGATTTGTCAAACATAGCCACCTCTTATTTTGAACAGTTTCTTACAAAACAAGACAATAGTTTATCAGAATGCCAGATCTTTTCTGGGAAAGCAGTAGTAAAAATTTTCCTGTTTTTATAATCAGTTTCCACTACATTTAAATCACAATAATATTAAAGAAAATGTATGCTAATTTGGGTTGTGTTGCAATTTTAGCATAGTCAAGCTAGATTTTCAAACATGATTTTTAACCAGCCAATTAATTAGATTCGATCAACTAGGAAGCATGGTATTGTATATCAGTTTGTTCATTTTTACCATACATAAAGTAGACTAAACAACAAAAACAGCACAAACTGTACTTAAAATAGTAGAAAATATGATTCATATAGTACATTCATTCATTTTCCTTCAGCTTACTCCCATATTTATAAGGGGTCGCCACTGCGGAATGAACCGCCAACTATTCTGGCATTAGTTTTATGCAGCGCATACCCTTCCAGCCGCAACCCAGCCCTGGGAAATACGCATATACACTCACATTCACACACTACGGCCAATTTTGTTTACCTAATCCACCTATAGTGCATGTGTTTGGACTGTGGGGGAACCCAGAGCACCCGGAGGACACTCTGAGGGACTCAAACTAGCAACCTTCTTGCTGTGAGGCGACAGCGCTATCCACTATGCCACCGTGCTGCACATTTGGTACATTTCTGAAGTAAAAACAATAACAACTCGACAAGGAAAAACATCAAGCATTTCAGCTATACCTTTCATTAATGCTAATGTTATATAACTACACCCGCAATACACACACACACACACACACTCCTCAAACTATACATCCTTCTGAACCTGGGGCTCCTACTAACTCTGAACAGTTTCTCTTATGTAAGCCCTGTATTGAAGTGAGCCTAATGCACAGCTGTTCAGCACACACACAAAGAAGGACACCACAAACAAAGACACAGACACAAAACGAGACTTTATTGAATCATCACAAGCCGTATGGTTAGCATTTGTATAGTCGGTGTATGTTTACCCGTGTGTGTGTGTGTTTGTGGCATGTCTGCGTATGTGTGGATAATCAAGCATTCCCGCATTTATTTCAAGTCCAATCTTTATATTAAATTACCATCATATATATACTTCATATAAAAGAATATTTCAGGGGCAACACGCGGTTTCTTCAGTTAATTTACACACCACGTCCCCATAAAGAAGACCTTATTGTCCAGCTTGTGTGTGAAGACGGTGGATATGGGTGGATTTATGTACTCAACGCACACAGGGTTTTGTTATGAGGGATGACTGGTTGAGAATCGACACCTTCAGCTTTTTTCAGTGCTCCATCCCTATGGACAATAGCGATGAAGGCAGAGAAGCAGAAAGAGATGCAATGGAGAAGACAGACTTAAGAGGTCACAGGAGGCGTTTGGGTTTTTACAAGTATTGAAAAGAATGGCAGTGTAAGGATTAGATGTTGCCGCCATCTCAAACGATCTTGTTCTCCAGGGCAGCGATCCTCTTCGTCACAGCTTCCAGTGATGCTTAGGTCAAGGAAATAATGCAATGGTTTCATCCTCACTAGCTGTGCATATTTAATTCATGCATTCATTCATTTTCTTTTTGGCTTAGTCCCTTATTTTTTTCAGGGGTTACCACAGCAGAATAAACCACCAACTTATCCAGCATATGTTTTCAGCAGCAGATGCCTTTCCAGCTAGGGCGAAGCAGTGGAGCAGTGCTGTCGCCTCACAGCAAGAAGGTCGCTGGGTCGTTGGTTCGAGCCTCGGCTCAGTTGGCATTTCTGTGTGGAGTTTGCATGTTCTCTTTCCGTTCGCGTGTGTTTCCTCCGGCTGCTCCGGTTTCCCCCACAGTCCAAAGACATGTGGTACAGGTGAATTGGGTAGGCTAAATTGTCCGTAGTGTATGAGTGTGTGTACGTGTGGATGTTTCCCAGAGATGGGTTGCGGCTGGAAGGGCATCCGCTGGGTAAAAACTTGCTGGATAAGTTGGCGGTTCATTCCGCTGTGGTGACCCCGAATTAATAAAGGGCTGACAAGAATGACTGAATGCCTTTCCAGCTGCAACCCATCCCTGGGAAACATCCATACACACTCACTCACACTCATACACTACAGACAATTTAGCCTACCCAATAAACCTGTACCGCATGTCTTTGGGCTCTGGGGGAAACCGGAGCACCCGGAGGAAATGGGGGTCCAACCTGGTACTAGTAAGGTGTACCTAATAAAGTGGCCGGTGAGTGTATATACACAGTGTCTCATAAACAGTAAATAAATGTAATGCACAGATTGCGCTGTTATTCCCATACCAAATTTTCTCATTCAGATTTTTGTAGTATAATAAGCAGTCATATTTTTGTAAGATATATTATTGCTTGGTTTTTTTGAAACACTGGGTGTGTATGTAATGTACATAATTATCATGGTATTTGCGTTTCATAGTATTTATAAATATTTATTCGCAAATCAGTTTTTGGATTTACAAATAAATAACTGAAACGCAAATTCATCTCTTTAAAAGGCAAAACACACCTCAAAAAAGTTGAGAGATGATATAATAAGTAAATAATATACTTATACACACTGTACTCACAATGAAGTTCTTGTTCATTCTTCACTAAGAGGTAAAAAAGAAGTTCGAAATAATTTGTTCAGTTCAAGGGACTAAAACGGGAAAGACTTCTAAGTCAAAGAGGGTGGGGCCCTGTAATGGAAATTCATTTTTAGATGACCTTTATATATTGGAAACTTGTTTAAGGTGTGTTCTCCATATGTTCACCATAAAACCTATGTGTACATTTTTATACATAACTATATTTCTCTAGGTGCATGCTTATGTGATTATCCTAAGAATTTCCCTTATCTGACTATGTGGGGGTGAACATTTCTTTTCTCTGGGTACGCATCACTGGAATTTATGGTCTATACATCACTGAAAGGTATGGTTGCTTAAGAAGGATGTGTGGTTGTTATGAGCATATCCCACGAACGGCAGAAGACGCCTGACGTAAATGCAGATGAGGCCTTATTGAGAGTTGACCTCGTAAGCAGTACAAACTAGATAAAACGGTGAACACACTTTGCTTTAGTACCTCACTCTGCAGAAACTGTTGTTGCTGTATGATTGTGATCTTCTTTATAAAGAATAAAACTTTGAAAAGACATCCCGGGTAAGACTTTGTTTCTTGACCACTGAGAGAGCCTCCTAAGAGAAAATAGCCACTACAGGCCCCATATAGCCACACCTACCAATTACATCATCGCTACAAACCAATTATATCTCAGAGGTGTTTACAAACCAGGCTTAAGCGAGCTCTTTTGAATTGCCTACACTTCAGAACTTCATTCTGGCCTGATTTTGTTCATAGTGAATTCCCACCAGTTCTACAGTTTTGCTTTTAGCATAAAAGTAGTTCAGTGCATATTTTCAACATGGCAGCTGTGCAAATGAGCATGAACACTGCAAAAAATGCTTTTCTTACTTAGATTGTTTGTTTCGTTTCTAGTCCAAGTAATTAAAAATTCCTAAATCAGGAAGCATTATCTAGACAAGCAAAACATATTGTCTTGTTTTGAGAAATAATATGCCAATATTAAGTGAGTTTTTCCTTAAACAAGAAAAATAATCTGCCAGTGGGGTGAGCAAAATAATCTTACGTCAAAACAAAAAACAAGATTATTTTGCTTACCTCATTGGCAGATTATTTTGCTTGTTTTAAGGAAAAACTCAATTAATATTGGCATATTATTTCTCAAAACAAGGCAATATGTTTTGCTTGTCTAGAAAATGCTTCTTTATATAAGAAAATGTAGATATTTAGACTAGAAACAAGACAAAAAATCTAAGCAAGAAAAGCATTTTTGCAGTAAAGGCTCTATTTAAAAAAGGATATATTTCTTTGTTAACGCCTGTAGTGCTTCCTCCACCTTTTTCTGGAACTTGGTAATGGAATTACATTCACAGGGATCTTCCTCTGCAAAAAACAAGACCACACAAAGTTAACTGAGGAAATACTACACAGCAAATTCATTGGTGTTAAATTTCGAGTGTTATGGTAATTCAGAGTACACTGCAAAAAATGCTTTGCTTACTTAGATTTTTTGTCTTGTTCCTAGTCCAAATATCTAAAAATTCCTAAATCAAGAAGAATTTTCTAGACAAGCAAAACATATTGTCTTGTTTTTAAGAAATAATATGCCGATATTAAGTGACTTTTTCTTAAAACAAGCAAAATAATCTGCCAATGGCGTAAGCAAAATAATCTTATCACAAATCGAAAAAACAAGATTATTTTGCTCACCCCATTGGCAGATTATTTTGCTCGATTTAAGGAAAAATTATTATATATTAATAATATTATTTCTTAAAACAAGAGAATATGTTTTGCTTGTCTAGAAAATGCTTCTTAATTTAAGAACGCTTAGATATTTGGACTAGAAACAAGACAAAAAATCTAAGTAAGAAAAGCATGTTTTTGCATTGTAAAGTGTTAAAATTCTAGAGTTAGATAAAGATAAAATAACCCTCTCAGTGTTAGAAGCTGATTAGCCTCCTTGTCATACAGTGTTACATGTATCTAACGCTAATATAGTGTTGACTACAACATCCAAGAATTTATGCGCAAAAAGCCTGTAGGATTTTTTCAGGCATTTTTTTTTTCCCACAAGGAGCAAGCAAAAATTCTGGTGTTAAATATACAGTGTGATTTTTTTTTATTGGTGTTGTTCAGTGTTAAACCTGGAGTACATTTCAATCAACCTATGTGAAAAAGCATATATTTTAGAGGATTTTTTTTTTTCAGTGTTAAACTTTTAACCCATAATCCAGTGTATGTCCCACTAGTGAAGGTGGAAGTCCAGTTTTTTTGCTCAAGCAGGTTCTTTTGGACAAACAGTGATCAAACCAGTATGTTTTGAGTATGTCACGATGATATATTATAAGATATAATAAATTAATTCTCATCAGAAGCAGTATTTGCACTCATTAACTTATATACACATGAACTCTGTGAGTAATGTACAAATTTAATATATTGACATTTTAAAGCGTATAACACTTCAGTTTGACATAAGAATAAACTCTTACTGTGTTAAAATGAACTCTGTGAGTAATGTACAAATTTCACCCTTTAGAAAGTATTATTTTAACTCCAAAATGGAGGGAGTCATATGTACACCCAAAGAGTGTTAAGTTAAACTCAAATTGAGTTAAAAGTACACTGATTTTTTGCTGTGATGAGATGAAGCAGCTGGTGAGTAGAGTTACTTAAAATGTTTGTATATAGACATTTGACATCCAAATTATTATATATACGTTAGATTAAAATATCTCACAAAAAAAGTATAAATTTTCATCTTTATTTTGTTCTTACTAGCTATGTTACAATAAAACTAAAGAAAATAAAGCTGTCTTAAAACTGCTTCTTTTGGTTAAAATATGAGAAGAAATGGTTTGTGACTGTTTTGAATTGTTTTCCTTAAACATTAACCGAATGGTTGATAAAATGCTGCCGATATTAAACAAGATATATTTTTGTTTTTGTGCAGTGTTGAAAATTTGACCTAAGAGTGTTAACATGTGACACTGATGGTGTTCATATGATCTTTTGTGGTGTTAATATTTTACACTATAAGAGTTTGCTAATTAACACTCTCTGAGTGTTGATAATGTCAACTCTTTCAAAAGTGTTATTTTAACACTTCTATAGTGGGTCCCATATAAACACTGGGGGAGTGTTAATTTTAACTCTAAGGTAGATAAATCTACTATCTAAAACTTGCAGTGTAGTTTTAATGGTCATCTTTTTTGTGGTTGCATTTACCTTGACAAACGTTGATTTGCAGCTTCTTGGCAATTTGGTTCATGGTTTTGAAGTCAGCCGTGTAGAAGTAATGGTCAGCGATCGGTTCAGAGGCGATCTCTCTCAGCTCATCCTCAACTGCATTGCCGACTCCCACAGCATACATTTTAAAGCCTAAAACATACCAAAATGCACTGTAAAAATAACATTTCAAGAGTTCCCACTTAGACATGCTTAGCATTTATAGCAGGTTTGGCATGCTGTCCCGGGAGAGAACCCTGAGCTTGGAGATATTTGAGCTCAGGGCTCCTGCCTTGTCAATAAGCATATCAGGGGATCCGAAATCAGGTAGGTCTCAATAGCTCCCCCTTTAGAAAGGGGAGGAAAAGGAGGAGATGGGGTGAAAGGGGGGATTCTTCCAAAACGAAGATAGAGCAATAAGGAGAAAGTGATCCATTTATAGTGAGCAAGAATCACTCTGATTGGATTATTACTGATTACGGATGAGTGGCCAGCAGTGCTCAATCATATCACGTGCTCCTCTCGAAATTAGTTTATGAAACTTCACTTAAACACATTGCAATGCATTTGGGATTTTTTTTTTAAAGTTATCTTCATTATTTTTAGGAACTTTTTAACATGTGCTAAAGAAAACGAAAGAAAAGATACAAAATGATCAAATAAAAAAATAATAGAAATTGCCATTACAAGTATATAAATAAATAAATAAATGCATGTGCTGTACATACACATACAATATAGTCCCAGTGACTGATTTTTGTACAATTGTTTCTAAGAGTGTATACTTTCATTTTTCTAATCCCAAATAATGAGACAATTGTTGCAATCAGTGTTTAAAAGGAGAGCTCTCTGTATTTTTCCAATAGTTTTAGGGTGCTTTCACACCTACACTTTTGTTTCGGAATGTGTCTCGATTGCCCAGTTAGCGCGGTTCGTTTGGCATATGTGAACAGGGCAATCGCGCTCTGTTCCGCGCCAAAGTAATCGCTCCGAGATCGCTTGAATGAGGTGGTCTCGGCTCGATTAAAACGAACCCTGGAGCGGTTCGATTGCAGTGAGAAAGCGATCCGATCCGAGCGCGGTTATATCACAGTGTTTTATGGATATGTAATAGGCTAACGGCTATATGAAGAGAGAATTATGAGTAGGGCGGGAAAATTCGCGAGTCTCCGGATGCCCGCAATCGAGTGATGATCTCCCGGTAATCTTGCGTCTCCCTCCCAGTCCTCAAATAGGCATCGTCGCGCACCCTTCTCAGCCCTCCCCACTGCGTCTCTCCTCAGACACGTCGCACCCACACCCTGTCAATCACCACCAAACCACCACCTCTCCTGACAGCTTAGCAGGACGCTGCAAAATAAACCCTGACACTGACCAATGTGAGGAGAGTTTACTCGCACGTGACTTGTTTTAGCTCTTTTGGTCCGTTTAGAAACTTTGCAGTGTGAAAGCGAACCGCTCCAAGAGCAAAGAGCAACAATGTAACAATTGTAATCTGTCTTGGAACAACTGAATCGATTCACAGGTGTGAAAGCACCCTTAGTTTTCTAACCTAGCGCCTTGGCTTTCTTGGCGGCATCTCCGATGTAGTCCTGCGACCTGCCGTCTGTGAAGACAATACCGACTTTCGGCACTCCTGGTCTGGCGCCCTGGTTAGGACCGAAGCTGTTGTCCACCAGGAAACTGAGGGCATGTCCTGTCATGGTTCCCCTCTCCATGTAGTCCATCCTTTTCACAGCTTCTTTCAGGGATCGTTTGCTGTTGTGGCGTCCCAGTGGGAACTCCTGCTTCACAGTGCTGGAGTACTGCACCAGTCCCACGTGGGTGTTGGTTTCTGACACGTCCAGTTTGTCGATAATCAGGTTGATCCATTTCTTTACCAGCTCGAAGTTCTCGGGTCTCACACTCTTGGAGCCGTCGATCAGGAAGACCACATCTGTGGCTGCATTACTGCAAGCTGAGAGATGAGAAACAGAAGGTGCTAATGGTGACTCCATACTGGGGCCCCGGGACCCCCAGGGGTCCACCAAAAATATAGGACAGAAATATTTGACAAAAAAAGTGCTTTTAAATGTGCATTTTATTCAAGGTTTGACGAAACAGCCATTAGCGTGTTGTTTTATCACCGCTCTGCCAGTAAGAGTGGTTGAGCTCAAGCGCATCAAATATGAAGCATCTTAAAAGGGGCGGTGCATGTCAGACACTAGAGAGCATTTGAGCATTCAAGTTTATTTAACTTAGTACTAAGTTTGTTGAACTGAATAATTTAAGTATAGTCTACAAAACCGGCAAGTTAAATAAACTTAAATATGCAAGTTTTGGGAGACTCTATTCCCCAATTAAATTGAGGCAACGAGTTTACTCAATTAATTTAGTTCAGTCAACTTATTATATTATGATACATTTTACGTTATGTTCAGTCAAATTTACTTAATTGTTTAAGTAAAGACAACAATAGGGTTTGCAGTGTATGAAAGTCAATGGTTACCAAATTATATTTTGTTAATCAGAAAAAGAAACTAATAAAGGTTTGGACCCACTTGCAGTTGGACTTGTGGAGCTGTGCATCGATGGTTTTGCTCTTCAGTGTTTGGACTTTCAGCAGTGAAAATTACACCACACTGAAATGAACTGAACTGAACTTCAACTCTGAAAACTGGACTGACAAAGTTTCAATTTCAATCTACTAGAACTTCTATGCTTTGACACAATCTACATTGTAAAAGCGATCTAGAAATAAAGATTAATTGAATTGGAGTTGAGTAAATTGTAAGTAAATTATTTATTTTTGTGGGAACTATCCCTTTAATCTGAAACTGTGGTGTTTGGTGATTTATACAACTAAAAAGTCAAGAATATTAACTTTTTTAACTTTGAGAATTCCAAAAAAACGTCCAGGCAAGGCCAAAATAATACCCATGGCTTCTGAAAAAAAACACACTGAGGTTTTATGAGGTGAAACGATTGGTTTGTGCAATATGAGGCCCTGGTAATAATGTTGTAAATAATGTAGAGTTTCTTGCACAGGTTTCACTTTATAAGACCTCAGTGTATCATTCAGAGCCACGTGTATTCATTTTGTTTTACCTGTGTATGTATTTTTTGACTTAAAATATTTGGGGGGTTTTTTTACCCTCAAAATGCAAGAAGACAATGACTTTATATGATAATGTCATTAAATGAATCACCAAGGACCTATCTTTCAGCTAAACATCTTCAATGTTCTACTGGAAAACAACCTCAAGGTGACTAAAAGTGATTGCGTGCTTACTAGTGTCGCTTATACAAGACAAAATGACCAAGACAAGTCTGATTCATCAGAAGATTCTTGTAAATAGCTATATTAGCCATAATCTGCAATGTGGAAGTTAGCTCTTTTCTGCAATTGTTTTAGGATCCAGTTGCCTATGGGAGAAGTGAATATGAATAACAAGCAGCCATAAAACATATGCACTATAGGTTAGTTGAATTAACTAAATTGGCCGTTGTGTATGTGTATGAATGAGTATGTATATATATTGGAAGGGCATCTGCTGTGTAAAACATACGCTGGATAAGTTGGCGGTTCATTTCGATGTGGCGACCCCTGAGGAATAAAGCGGCTAAGCTGAAGGAAAATGAATAAAGTTTGCAATATCAGGCAGCACCGTGGCTCAGTGGTTAGCACTGTCACCTCACAGCAAGAAGGCTACTGGTTTGAGTCCCAGCTGGGTCAGTTGGCATTTCTATGTGGAGTTTGCATATTCTCCCCATGACTCTGGACTTTCCCCCACAGTCCAAAGACAAGCGCTATAGGTGAATTGAATGAACTAAATTGAATATAGTGTATGAGTGTGTGTGAATGAGTGTGTATGGGTGTTTCCCATTACTGGGTTGCAGCTGGCATTGCATCCACTGTGTAAAACATATGCTGGAATAGTTGCCAGTTCATTCTGCTGTGGCGACCTCTGATAAATATATAAGGTTGGAAGTATTTGGTGTAAAATATAACACAGATACGATTAATAAGGTAATTAAAAAATGACTCATTTCAAGGTCAAATATTAGCCCATAAATATTATTTTCTGACTCTATCAAATCTTTTTCTCACTTACCCAACATTATCATGTACTCACCTGAGCATGATCGGCTGTCATTCATGAGTGTAAAGCCCTCTCTGCAGGCGCACTTGAAAGATCCGGGTGTGCTGATGCAAATGTGCTCACAGTCATGATCACCAGTCGCGCATAGGTCCGACACAACCGCTACCATGAATGTAACACACACACCGGGTGGGGGGGGGGAAGGAAGGGTTAGCGAGGACAGAATTACTATGTGAAGTGGGAACTTAAGAAAATCAATGCGTTTTAGCAGCCTGCTGCACTCAAATGAACAGCAAATCTTTAAAACGCACTGAAACATGTCAGAGATCCAGGCGCCCGAGGCTAGTAAACGTCAGTAGTCTCAGGCGGCTGTTGCTCCGATGCAGACTTTCTACCGCATTGGTTCTCAACCTTTTAAGCTGCAAAATGATTTAGTAAACAAACAAATGTCATATATCTTAAAGCTGAGAACCACTGCACTGCATTAGCGGTTTCCATTCACCAATTTGTATGCGCTTTTTGGAATATCGCATTAGAATGCTTTATAGAAATGACGAGCTGTGCATGAATTTTAAAACTGTGCATAAAAATTTTTGCTGAGTAGGATAAACTTTTTATCCAAAAATAATTTAAAATGTTGTTTTGGTCTAGGGCTGGGGATTATTTTCCATATTGAATGATAACGATATATATTCTCAAAGTTGTTAATGGCTCCAGATTTAAAGGAGTGCTCTGACAATGACTGAAGTCACAAAGATTAGAGGGTCCATTAATTGGCATAATATTTTTGGCCTATTAATTTGTCGGTGGGGGAAAATTTTGTGTATCTCCAATCACGTGCGCCGCTTGGGAGGGAAAAGTGAAGATGATTCTAAGGGCCCACACAGTTTTGGGGCCCCCAGAGAGATTCTCAGGGGCCTAAACGCCAATCAAACCCCCTCCCCATCCACCCCCCCATCTTCATTTTCATCTGTGAAAATAGTTCGGAGCTTATCAATTGTGCTGACAAAAATTTTATTGTGATTTGATATAATATCATATATCGGCACTGCCCTATTTTCTTCTATCTAAAATTACTCAGCTAAAGTCTGTCATCACAGTGGTTCAGTATTTGCATTACAAATCTATTATTGCGACCAGAACTGTCTTAAGTCATTGGCTCTATTTTAGCAGTCTAGGTAGGCACGTAAACTAAATCGCATGGCGCAAAAGCATTAAGGGCGTGTCCAAATCCACTTTTGTTATTTTAAGGATGGAAAAATGCACTTTGCGCCCTGGTGCATGGTTTAGCAAGGTTGTGCTTAAGCTGCTGTCACACTAGAGTTTGAGCTTGGCATGATTAGGCATTTAAAAAAGTGAGCGATTGGGCCATATTTTAAATTTCTGTTCAGAGAGGTCATGTTTTAATCCTCGATTGGTCTTACTCAGTCACGTAATGCGATTTCAGAGTTCACCAAGCTTAAACTTTCCAATGCAGTGAACTGCGAAACTTGTCGCACAAGCTTGCGTTTCCGTTCTGACGCATTCGCATACATATCAGTGGAAGTCTATGGGAAGAAAAGTGCAGTGTGAACGTGGCTTTATTCTCTTAATGAGTTATGGCTGTGATTTGAGCACAACCTGCATTAAATTTAAGAGTCAGTTGTGTCGAGCCATGGTACATTTGCAATTTACATGCAGACTTCATAAGTGTAAAAACTTAATGCTTCACTAAGGAGAAAACAGTTACACAGACCATCTGCAGCGCGAGGATAAAGAACGAGCCTCCTCCATTAAGCCTCTTTACTTTCTCTTTAATTCACTTTTACTCTTTACTCCTTTACTTTCATGTATCAGGAAACGGTGTTGTACTCACTCCACTGAAGACATCCATTACCCTACAGATTTTATTTCCTTTGTTAATCTCAAAGATTTGTTTTAAAACTGTTTCTAAATTCAGTTCTAATTTTTAGCGAACGATTAAAGGGACGATTAAAAGAGAGTGGTCAACAAACTGAGTTATATCCAAACCCATGTCCTATACTAATGCCCCATATGGTGATGCAGAGGTCTCCAAAACCCAACAGGAGGACAAAACTAAACTTGTTTTTAATAACACATATATGCAAAATAAATATAAATATGCAAATATGCAATGATAATAACATTATACAAATGCAAATTGTAAAAAAAGCCACTTGGAGGTAGTAGTTTTTATATTTATGTAGACAATAATAATTTTGGTAGCATTTTAATTGTTTCAAATGTAAAGATATTTGTGCATTTCTGTACATCCTGTGTGTATTAAGCAATGTTTGGACCCATATAGGCGCATAACTAATACACTCTGCGGTGTACTTTTGACCAGATTTCAGTTGGTCAATGGTTCAGTCTATTTCCGTTCTTCAAAATAGCAACATGCAAACAATGCGCCTTAACACACCTCCTTTTCAGACCAGCACACCAATGAGTCCACAATGTGGCACAGATGGATTTGGTATTTAAACAATGTAGCACAAAACGTGAAAATTTGGTTTGCGCTGGTCTGAAAAAAGCAACAAATCACGCCAACACGTCTTGCGCTATTGCGCCAGTTGTATTATAGGGCCCATTGTGTTTCGTCATCTGAGGCGCAAGCAAATTATTAAATAAGAAAAAAAAAAACACAGTGGCTTCTCTTACAGCAGCAAACTCTATTTGTTTTTTATATCTGGTGCCAGTTGATCAAGAAGTGACAATTTTTTGAATGGATGCATATGTTGCTTTATTTGCAAATATTTTATGCGATATTCCAGTTTTGTGCATATGTTGACATCTTTGGATTGGAAACATAGCTATTGACTACACTACAGTCACATCAGTGTTTATACATGCTTTTACTTCCTCCCCCGGAAACCCGAGTGCAGTGGAGCATCAAGCACTGGGTGGAGATCCACGTCTGGAGGTGAGATTAATCAAAACATGCCCTATCTACAGTATCCTCATGCCCACTATTGTACTGTAAATCAACTATTAATACCGGCGGCCATGTTGAGGATCAGTCATGGGTCCTCTATTGTTCACACTTACCACAAAAGGCCTCCTGGAACTTCTTGGTGAGCTTCTCGATGAGGCTGTAGCTCTCCACGTAGTCTACGTGATCCTCCAGGGGCTCGCTGGCCATCTGCCTGAGGGTGGTCATGTCAACGCGGCCCACTCCGATGGCAAATATCTCAATGCCGGCCTCCCGCGCTCTCGCTGCAATGTCACGGATGTTGTCCTGCGGTCTGCCGTCTGTCACAATGATGGCCACCTGCACATATTTGCTAATGTCATTGTTTTACATGAATTAAAAGCTGCAGATTTGCTCACATAAGAGTACATTGTGGAAAATGAAAATGTTATAAAAAACTCAAGCACTGAATTCTCCAAGCACTTGTAAGTTCCTTTGTAAAACTAGCACTTCATTCTGGTGCACCAATCAGGGGGAGTTTAGAGTAGTCACTGCTGAAAATGAACCAGTCAGAGGCATTCAGATTAGTCACTGCTGAAAACACACCAATCAGGGGAGTTTAGTGTAGTCACTGTTAAAAAAGCACCAATCAGGGGAGTTTAGTGTAGTCACTATTGAAAACGCACCAATCAGGGCAGTTTAGAGTAGTCACTGTTGAAAGTGAACCATTCAGGGGAGTTTAGAGTAGTAACTGTTAAAAAAGCACCAATCAGGGGAGTTTAGTGTAGTCACTATTGAAAACGCACCAATCAGGGGAGTTTAGAGTAGTCACTATTGAAAATGCACCAATCAGGGGAGTTTAGTGTAGTCACTATTCAAAACGCACCAATCAGGGGAGTTTAGTGTAGTCACTATTGAAAATGCACCAATCAGGGGAGTTTAGAGTAGTCACTAATGAAAACACACCAATCAGGGGAGTTTAGTGTAGTCACTGTTAAAAAAGCACCAATCAGGGGAGTTTAGTGTAGTCACTATTGAAAACGCACCAATCAGGGCAGTTTAGAGTAGTCACTGTTGAAAGTGAACCATTCAGGGGAGTTTAGAGTAGTAACTGTTAAAAAAGCACCAATCAGGGGAGTTTAGTGTAGTCACTATTGAAAACGCACCAATCAGGGGAGTTTAGAGTAGTCACTATTGAAAATGCACCAATCAGGGGAGTTTAGTGTAGTCACTATTCAAAACGCACCAATCAGGGGAGTTTAGTGTAGTCACTATTGAAAATGCACCAATCAGGGGAGTTTAGAGTAGTCACTATTCAAAACGCACCAATCAGGGGAGTTTAGTGTAGTCACTATTGAAAATGCACCAATCAGGGGAGTTTAGTGTAGTCACTATTGAAAACGCACCAATCAGGGGAGTTTAGTGTAGTCACTATTGAAAACGCACCAATCAGGGCAGTTTAGAGTAGTCACTGAATAAAGTGAACCATTCAGGGGAGTTTAGAGTAGTAACTGTTAAAAAAGCACCAATCAGGGGAGTTTAGTGTAGTCACTATTGAAAACGCACCAATCAGGGGAGTTTAGAGTAGTCACTGTTGAAAGTGAACCATTCAGGGGAGTTTAGAGTAGTAACTATTAAAAACGCACCAATCAGAGGGGTTTAGAGTGGTCACTGCTAAAAATGAACCTATCAGATGCATTTAGAATAGTCACAGCTTAAAATTCACCATCGAGTGAATTTTAGATGCTGATGAAAACACGTCAGAGACGTTTAGAATTGTCACTGCTAAAAATGAACCAATCAATGGTGTCTAAATTAGGTGCAGTTGAAAACGCACCAATCGGATGGTAGTCACTGCTAAACGCCCCAATCAGGGGAGTTTAAATAAGTCACTGTTGAAAATGAACCAAACAGGGGAGTTTAGTGTAGTCGCTGCTAAAATTGCATTAATTAGGGGAATTTAGAGTAGTCACTGCTGAAAACCCATCAATGGAGAACCCATCAAGGGAGTATAGAGTAGTCACTGCTGTAAATGCAGCAATGAGGAGGGGAGTTAGAGTAGTTACTGCTAAAAACGCACCAATCAGGGAAATTTAGAGTAGTCACTAATGAAAGTAAATCAATCAGGGGAGTTTAGAGAAGTCACTGTTGAGATGCACCAGTTAAGGGCGGGGGGTGGTTTAGAGTAATCACTGCTAAAAACGCACCAATCAGGAAAGTTTAGTCACTGTTGAAGGTGAACCAATCAAGGAAGTTTAGAGTAGTCACTTCTGAAAACGCACCAATCAGAGGAGTTTAAAGTTGTCACTGCTGATAACGCACCAATCAGGGGAGTTTAGAGTTGTCAATGGTGAAAATGTACCAATCTGATGCATTCAGATTAGTCACTGCCGAAAACGCACCAATCAGGTGGAGTTTAGAGTAGTCACTGCTAAAAACAAACCAATCAGATGTTTTTAGATTAATTTCAGCTGAAAATTCACTAATCAGAGATTTTTAGATGCCGCTAAAAAGGCACCAATCAGAGATGGTGAGAAGAATTGCTGCTAAAAATGAACTACTCAGTGGTGTTTAGATTAGATGCCGATCAGAGGTGTTTAAAGAAGTAGAATTTAGATTAATTTCCAATGAAAATGCACCAATCAAAGCAAATATTCGATTTTATGAATAAAAAAACACTCAGATCCTGATTAGATAAAGTTTTACCCACACTCTAAAAAATAACCCAAGAGGTCTGTTACCACTACATAGTTTAACACATATTTGTAAATTAAAAGTTTTAACCTAATCAACAATTTATTATTTATCATTTTTAAATTGCCATAATATGTTTCTTATGTTTTCACAGCAGGAAAATATTGATAATTACATCAACAAAAAAATGTGGCTAATTTATGGGTAAATATGTCTGTCAATCAGTTTGAAACTAAACTTATAGCAACCCAAAGAAATTGGTTTGAATGCTCAATTTTTCCACACAAATGGAGTTCTGAATTTCAAAGCTCCTGCCCTACTGAACAAGCAAGAAGCAAGCCCGGACAAGTTTTAGGCAGACTTTTTGGCACAAAAGACATTTTAAGGTGAGCGTTTTGCTTCATTTCTAATGAATTTTCTCCATTCCACAGCTACTCCTGGTAAATACAGCTGATGTAAGCAGTGTTTTTTGACTCAAAAATGTTTTTTCTGGCTTTACAAGAATGCACAAGAATTTAAGGAGGACCTTGAAAGGCAAATGATGACAATTGCCATTGTTGGTGATCAGTTTACTTTGCAATTGAGTCACAAGACGAAAAACCATCATGGTTGAGGGCATGAGAATCCTAAATGGAATGGATATCTCAAGGAGCTCTGCTCTGCTGCTGGGCATAATATATGCTCTGAATCTAAGCTAAGGAACTTAAATTTACTTGTGAATTTTCTTGATGGACTAAAGCCCAGTGTAAAAGTAAAAAGTTTTGCTCTTTATGTTGAACTTTGTTGTTTGTATTTTTAAGTCCACACACTGATGTTTTTGTTATTCTTCATACTGTTAATATGGAACAGTACACGCTTTTGTTTTGTAAAATACTGAAAAACGTTTTAAAATTACTGAAACATTACTGGAAAACAAAAATGTTATTGAATATATTTCTTGCAAGCAACTAAATAAACAGTAAATTTGTAAACATACAAAAAAAATTCAACATTTTCAACTAAATTTATTTGAGGTTAAAAATGTGAAAATGTGAATGTATAATTATGGTAATTAAGTTTATAACACTGATTTATTTTAATTCTTAATTTAAAAATAGTTGAAACAACTGATGTTTTTTAGTTTATGTTATGTAAATATGCATCTGATTGAAGAGGAAAATGTCATTAGGCTAACATAATACAATTTGTTGTCTGAACTTCACTTTGTTAGATGTTGTCGTAACTTGAATATATTGATGCAAACTGCTGCGTTATTTGTTTTGTTTGGAGTAAACAATATTTTTTAGAGTGCAGTATACATAAACATACAGTATACCATTTTCCCCTATAGTTTTGGTACAGTCTCGTTTACAGTTAGGATTTCTCCAATGTGGATAATGTAACAGCAATGAGGCTTAAAGCTGTTAATGATGCTAATATGTGGGTTTTATGGGATTGTCCTGACTCTGACCTTGCTGATGTCAGGGGATTTGCGTCCTCCCTCGGCTTCGCTGAAGGCCACATTCATTGCAAATTGGATAGCGAGTCCAGTCATGGTGCCAGTGGACAGCGGCTCAATCTTGGACACGGCCTTGACCAGCGCAGCCTTGGTTTTGTGGGATTTCAGAGAGACTTCGTTCTTCACTCTGCTGGCGTAGTTCACCACACCCACACGAGTGGCGTCCGGCCCGACGCTCAAACCATCGATCACTTTGGCCAGGAAGACTTTAACCTGCTCGAACTCAGAGGGCCGGACGCTTCGAGAGCTGTCGACGATGAACACCACATCAGTGGGCTTGGTGTTACACAGACCTGCAGCTGGAAACAGGGAAACAAGAGCATTCCTGTCAACGCATGTACTGTACTAATGACATGTTACCTGCCAGGCACAGTTACTGTAGGAAAAACAACAAACACGGCACATTTTCAGATTCTATTCAAGGAGATAAAATGATGTGTGCAAACCTTTTTAAACCTCTTCACAAAAGAAGATATTTTGAAGAAGGGTGGAATCTGGTAGCCATTAACTTCCTGAGGGAGGATGGATATATTTATTTATTTACGTTTGTTTGTTTGTTTGTTTGTTTGTTTGTTTGTTTGTTTGTTTTGTTTTTGTTTGTTTGTTTTGTTTTGTTTTGTATGTTTGTTTTGTTTTTGTTTGTTTGTTTGTTTGTTTGTTTTTGTTTGTTTTGTTTTGTTTGTGTTTGTTTGTTTGTTTGTTTGTTTGTTTGTTTGTTTTTATGTCTATGGTTGGCAGACAGGTTTCCAACATTATTAACAGTATGTGACCCTGGATCACAAAGCCAGTCATAAGTTTCTAGTAAGTTCTCATTTCTGAAAATTAATCATAAATAAGCCTTTATCGATGTATGGGTTTGTTAGGACAAGATGTCCAAATACATTTCTTAGCATAAACTGCATGGTGGTGCAGTGGGTGGCATGCTCGCTTTACAGCAAGAAGGTCGCTGGTTCGAGCCTCAGCTAGATCAGTTGGCGTTTCTCTGTGGAGTTTGCATGTTCTCCCTGTGTTGGTGTGGGTTCCCTCTGGGTGCTCCAGTTTCCCCCACAAGTCCATGCTGTATAGGTGACTTGGGTAAGCTAAATTGTGTGTATGAATGAGTGTGTGTGAATGTTTCCCAGTGATGGGTTGCAGCTGAAAGGGCATCCGCTGTATATGCTGGATAATAACATATGCTGGATAAGTTGGTGGTTCATTCCGCTGTGGTGACCCCAGATTAATAAAGTGACTAAGACGAAAATACAATATATGAATGAATAATGTACAATTTATATAATTCACAAACTTTCTTCATAGACTAAAATTAACATTCATAATCCATACAATAATTTTTTGGGCTTTTGTCAAACATCTAACATATACACTCACCGGCCACTTTAATAGGTACACCTGTCCACATGTTCGTTAATGCAAATCTCTAATCAGCCAATCACATGGCAGAAATTCAATGCAGTTAGGCGTGTAGACATGGTCAAGATGATTTGCTGCAGTTCAAACCGAGTATCAGAATGAGGAAGAAAGGGGATTTGAGTGACTTTGAACGTGGCATGGTTGTCGTTGCTAGATGGGCTGGTCTGAGTATTTCAGAAACTGCTGATCTACTGGGATTTTCACGAACAACCATCTCTAGGGCTTACAGAGAATGGACTGAAAAAGAGGAAATATCCAGTGAGCGGCAGTTCTGTGGGCACAAATGCCTTGTTGATGTCAGAGGTCAGTGGAGAATGGCCAGACTGGTTCCAGCTGATAGAAAGTCAACAGTAACTCAAATAAGCACTTGTTACAACTGAGATCTGCAAAAGTGCATCTCTGAACACACAACACATCCAACCTTGAGGCAGATGAGCTACAGCATCAGAAGACCACATAGGGTGCCACTCCTGTCAGCTAAGAACAGGAAACTGAGGATACAATTTACACAGGCTCACCAATAGAAAATTGGAAAAACCTTGCCTGGTCTGATGAGTCTCGATTTCTGCTGCAACATTTAGATGGTAGGGTCAGAATTAGGCATAAACAACATGAAAGCATGGATCCATCCTGCCGTGTTTTAAAGGCACAGCCTACCTGAGTATTGTTGCTGATGATGTCCATAATATTATGACCACAGTGTACCCATCTTCTGATGGCTATTTCCAGCAGGCGAATCATCTCAGACTGGTCTCTTAAACATGACAATGAGTTCACTGTACTTAAAAGGCCTCCACAGTCACCAGAGCTCAATCCAATAGAGCACTTTAAGATGTGGTGAAATGAGAGAATCACATCATGGATGTGCAAACGACAAATCTGCAGTAACTGGATCTGCGTGATGCTATCATGTTAATATGAACAAAAATCTCTGAGGAATATTTCCAGCACCTTGTTGAATCTATGCCATGAAGGATTAAGGCAGTTCTGAAGGCAAAAGCGTAACCTGTACTAGTAAGGTGCAGGGGCGGACTGGCCATCTGGCAATTCTGGCAAATGCCAGAAGGGCCGGACCAATTTTTAAATGTGGGCCGGTCAGTTTTTTTTTTAATATGTATTGTTTTTAAGTGCAGACAGCTTTAATCTCTTGCTAGATGTGATATTATGATGATGATAAAAAATAAATAAAAAATGTTAAGCATTTGGCGCAATCGGCAACTGCCGCCTGGTTTCAAGTTGGGCCGACCCAATCCAAGGTTACCCTGACATAATTAAAATCTGGCAAAAATGTCATATTATTTCACTATCTTTACACCAAAATAAATAGTGAATGTGCGTGTCCGTGGGTGGGGCTGTGTCGGTGTGGAAATGTGGGCTGGTGTGGCAACAGTGCCAGGGCTAAATTTTTGTCCCAGTCCGTCCCTGGTAAGGTGTACCTAATAAAGTGGCCGTTGAGTGGGGGGGGGGGTGTTGAGTAATCATTGCTGAAAATGAACCAATTTAATCATGAATCTATATATATTTAAATATACAATATAAATTTTGTGCTTCAGGGTCAAGTAGTTTCCTTTGTGTTAAAAGAAAAATGAGTAAATGATAAATGATAAAAGTTTCATTTTTGTGTGAACAATTCTCTTTAATAATGGCAAAATTGTCTCATTTAAAATTATGACAGTTCCCTGTTTACACACTTAGAATTATTTTATGCTACATGTTGCATTTATTTGATTAAAACTACAGTAAAAAAGATGGAAACAGTAAAATATTTGTATAAACAAAACTGTTCTACTGTAATATACTGAATTTTTACATGTGTTTTCCCCTCAGTGATGAATAGCTGAATTATTAGCCTCATTACTACAATATATTCAGTTTCCCAAGAAAGCGTGTGTCCCATCTGCTCAAGAAATATTCATTCATTCATTTTCCTCCAGCTTAGTCTGTATTTCAGAGGTCAACACAGTGGAATGAACCGCCAACTACTCCAGCAAATACCCTTCCAGCTGCAACTCAGTACTGGGAAACACCCATACACACTCATACACTATGGCCAATTTAGTCTATTCAATTCACCTATACGATATGTGTTTGGACAGTGGGGGAAACCGGAGCACCCGGAGGAAACCCACGCCAACACGGGGAGAACATGCAAACTTCACACAGAAATGCCAACTGGCCCAGATGGGGGTCGAACCAGCGACCTTCCTGCTGTGAGGTGACATTTGCTAACCATTAAGCCACTGTATGTATTTATTATTGAACAAATTGTAAGTGAAGGAAAGAATGTGAGAGTGAAAAGCCAGACAGTCTGCAGGTTCAATAAATGTACAGTGCTGGTCTTTCTCATAATAACTCCCATTGATTATACATTCAGCCTCAGGTATGCACACACACACCCACACACACACACACACACACACACAGGCGCGCACAGTAAAGGGCCTCTTTGTGTACATATGTAGTGAAATCTGAAACCTTAAAAACACATTTTCCTAGAGGACATACAAGTCACGTACAACCACTGGAAACATGAGCCTAATTGCCCACTTTAAACATCTCTCAGTTTTAAACACCTACATCCGAAATCACATACTTAAACACTACAGAAATTGTAAGTGAACAACAGTAAGTGAGAAAATACCTGTGTCTGAATTCAGTAAATATCAGAATGGAGACTGTGGTATATACAAATTACATTCATTTTTTTTCGGCTTAGTTTATTCATCAGGGGTCGCCACGGCGGAATGAACCAACAACTTATCCAGCATATGTTTTACACAGCGGATGCCCTTCCAGCTGCAACCCAACACTGGGAAACACCCATACGGACAACTTAGCTTATTCAATTCACCTCTAGCGCATGTCTTTGCTGGAGAAACTGGAGAATCCAGGTGCCGCTGTGACGCCCTATACAGATTACATTCATTCCATATTGATATTTACATCTCTACTCAGTGGTGGAGTATTAAAGGGATAGTTCACCCCAAAATGGAAATGTATTCACCCTCATGTTTCTTTTTTTACTGTTTACATAAAAGAAGATATTTTGAAGCATGTTGGAAACTACTAGCCATTGAATTCCTTTCTAGAAAAAAATACAATATGAGTCAATTGGTTTCTATCATTCTTCAAAATATCTTCTATATAAAAATAATTTTGTTCTGATAGAGGGGAAGTAAGTAATGACAGCATTTCCACTTTCTTTTTAATTACTCAATCAAAATAAGTCTTCGTCAGAGTATTACATTTTGAATATTCATTTATTCATTAATTTTCCTTCGGCTTAGTGCCTTATTTATTAGGGGTCGCCACAGTAAAATAAACCGCCAACTTATCCAGAATATATTTTATGCAGCGGATGCCCTTCTAGCTGCAACCCATGTACTGGGAAACACCCAGTCATTCACACTCATTCACTAGGGCCAATTTAGTTTATCCAATTCCCCTACAGCACATGTGTTTGGACTCGAACCTTTTTGCTGTGTAAGTACTAACCACTGAGCCACTGTGTCACCCTCAACACAAACATATTTAACCAATTGGACTGATGGACATCATAAAGGGACAGATCACCCCCCAAAAATCTAAATTTGGTTTTAATTTGTTTCTTTTTTCCATTAAACACAAAAGAAGATACTTTGAAGAATGCTGAAAGCTTTTTTTTTCCTAGAATGAAATTTATTTTCTACCACACTGCAAAAAAAAAAAAAAAAAGCTTTTCTTACTTAAAGAGTTTGTCTTGTTTCTAGTCCAAATATTAAAAAAAAATCTGAAGTCAAGAAGCATTTTTTAGACAATTCAGAAATAATCAGTCAAAATTACAGGAGTTTTAAAAAAAGCTGAATATGCTAACCAATGACTAAAGCAAAATAATTTTAATTCAAACCAAAAACAAGATTATTTTATTTATCTTACTGGCAGATTGTTTACCTTGTTCGAAGGAATAAAACTCACTTCATTTCTGAAAAGCTTTATAAAAATAAAAATAAATCAGTATTTAGATATTTGGACCAGAAGCAAGACAAAACTCTGAGTAAGTAAAGCTTTTTTTGCAGTGCAAGTTTCAACATTCTTTAAAATACATTAATCAGACTTCAATGGAGGAAAAAAAAAAAAACTGATGTAAAACCACTCAGAGAAATGCTGAATTATTGGGTAAAATATGGACTAACCCAAAAACATTGGTTCTAATAATTTAACTGAAGGATGATTCTCAGTGATGGGTTGCAGCTGGGAGGGCATCCGCTGCGTAAAACATATGCTGGATATGTTGGCGGTTCATTCCACTGTGGCGACCCCAGATTAGTAAAGGGACTAAGCAGAAAAGAAACTGAATAAATAAATTCAACTGAAAAAAATAACCCCACAGTTGGGTTAGTCCCTATTAAACCCAGAATTGATTCGAAATCACCTAGCATTTTTTAGTGTGTGCATTTTCATTTTTGGTTGAACTGTATTCTATAAACACTGTAAAAAATAAAATCTGTTATTTTACTTTTTTTTCCGGCAGCTAGGGTGCCTGAAAAAAAAAAGTAAAGAAATTGCCGGTAAATTACAGGCATTTACAGTAAAATAACAAAAGGTAAACTACAGACATTCACCGGAAATATCTGTAATTTAAACTCTGTTATTTTCAAGTAAATGTCTGTAATTTAACGCTCATTATTTTACGTTTTTTTCCAGCACTCTAGCTGCCAGATAATGTAAAATAACAGATTTTTTTTTTACAGTGTAAGGGTATTTTCCATTGTCATAGCAACCATAATAAAACCCAACAGTCAACTTTATCAAATGAAATGAGTGTAGTTAACTTAAAATTGACTGAAAGTTAATTCTCCTCATTTGAAAAGAGTTTTGAACTCAGTGTTGAAGATAATGAGTTAATAAAATTCTTCATTACTTCGACTTAAATGGAGTAAGTTCACAGTACTCATATAGATTAGTTTTTATTTCAAATGGTTTGTAGCAATCAGTTTCCTCAAGTGGTTTGAGTTACCTTAACTTATTAGGTTTTACAGCACTCAATTAGTTTGAGTTCTCTTCATTTATTGGCCTTTACTGTGCTCAAATTGCTCAGTTTACTCAAATGGATTAAGTTCACAGTACTTTCTACCTGCCAACACTCCCGTTTTTCTTGGGAGTCTCCAATATTTCAGACCTATCTCCCGCCACCCTCCCATTTTGTTATCTCACCCAGAAAACTCCTGTTTTCAACCATTACCCCCCCACCTCCACTCTGTGAAACCCCTGGTCGCCAACACTGGTATACGATCCGATCACAGCGGCCGCACGAAACATGCTTCATAGTACAGTTACTAACACCGCAGTACACAATACCTGGTTCTCATTATAGACACCTCACCCCTAACCCTAACCCCCCCCAGTTTCCCGGATTTTCAGGGACAAATGTTTGCAGGTATGCAGTACTCATTAGGATTAGCTCTTGAACTTAAATGGTTTGTTGCAATTGGTTTCCTCAAACAGTTTGAGTTACCTTAACTTTTGGGGTTTTACAGCGTACTGTAAAAAAAATCTGTTAAGTAAAAGTTTCAGAAAATTACAGTTTCCGTAATTTGTGATTCACAAGCGTTTATATTTACAGTTGTGAATTGCATTATGGGATGTTGATCTAATAATATACAGAGAAATAAGTCTGTAAAATGACAGAAAATGTACTGGAAGTTTATTACAATGCTCGTGTACCATAATTCACAACTTAACCCAGACAATATATCACTTTACACTATAAAAAATGTTCATAAATTAACTTTTTCAAAGGTTAAAAGTTGCTGGAAGAAAGATCAAAATCCCAAAATGCAAGTCAAATGCATAAATAAACAGGGAAAATTAAAAACACGAATCACAAAACACAAAAAACCCTGCTAATTTACAGACATTACTTACAGTCCATTGCTAAAAGTCCTCCACTAACGGATGTGTGAATGTCTTACCCATAGCAGCAGCCTGTCTCAGATCCACAGTGGCTTGAGCTCCCAAGATGCATAGCAGCATCACAAACCCCGGCAATGTCATACTGTAGCGCGGCGTGAGTCCCAATGACCTGCTCCAAAACCAGAGACAGACTGATTCACAGAGAGAGAGACGTGCAGGTTATCAACACACACACACTTCACATTTACAGATACACACTTACAGACGCCGCCCTCCAATCCATCAGCTTTTTTAGGGGGGGTGGAGGAGGAAAATGTCGATACCTGCTCCGAAAGAGTTTTTGGGTAGGAAAGACAAACACACCTTGATCTGTGTGTATGTGTTTGTATAAGGGAAGTCGGGTTCATTTGGAGCCCTAGGAGGGGTCTCTATAACTTGGGGTCGGAGTCAAATAAACATCGAGATGAATCTGTCTTTTCTGGGCACTTTTCCTCTCGAATTAATCTCACACACGCAGGAATTTATGCACAGGAATTATGTGGGAAGCCTGCGACACAGACGGCCCCTGTTCGGACTGTGTTTTTCTACTATATGCACCGTGGAGTGTGTGTGATGTGAGTATGAACATGTAGGCCTGTGTCTGACTTTGAAATGGTGCGCAGGATAGGAGTTGATCGACTTGAGCGTGAGATGAGGGTTCTGGAAAGGTTTGTGTTAGAGGACACGAGCTCCGTTTTCAGCTGTAGGTTAAAGGATTTGTGGATTATTGATTGGTACTGTTAGAGACGCACCAGTGGAACGGCTACTACTATTTATCAGCAAACTTTAACTCAAAAACAACTTATAATATGAATATTAAAATGATGTGGGCGACACGGTGAGTAGCACGAAGAGCAAGAAGGCCGCTCAGCTGACCAGTTGGCATTTCTGTGTGGAGTTTGCATTTTCTCCCCGTGTTGGGTTTCCTCCGGGTGCTCCAGTTTCCCCCACAATCTAAAGACATGTGGTATAGGTGAATTGACTAAACTAAATTGGCCATAATGTATGAATGTGTGTGAATGAGAGTGTGTATGGGTGGTTCAGCGGCTGGAAGGGCATCTGCTGTGTAAAACATATGCTGGATAAGTTGGCGGTTCATTCCGCCGTGGCAACCCCAGATTAATAAAGAGACTAAGCCAAAAAAAATGAATGAATGGATGAATATTAAAAAAGATCAATTCTATCTCTATTTGTACAACATGATCCCGCAGTCTCCTAGAAAATAGTTTCAACAGTCTCTTTTCAATCATTTAGAAAATAATAATAATAATAATATTAAAATAGCTCTTGATTTATTGAAGTGGAAAGTACAGAGAATAGTAGCATATAGTAGTGTATTTATATATAAAAGTTAAGACAATATTTTTATGTTACTTTAAAGGGCACCTTTGATGAAAATCATCTTGTGTAAGCTGTTTGGACAGAAATGTGTGTAGGTATCCGCTTGTTAAGTGGTGATGTATGTAATACTGTTTCCGGGTCCAAGCCGCCATTCATTTGAGTGGAGAAATCATTCGTTTATGATCACGTTTTATTTATTAAAGTTAATTTTATATAAAATCATAGTGTACACAACAATCTCTGGGCTTGCTGCATAACAAATACCAAAAATTTAACAATTTATAATAAAATGAATCACTTTCTGGCCATCGGATATTAGGCATGGACATATATATTGCAATCGTGATTTTCGAAAGCATTAAATCGTTTTGTAAACGTTTATTATTACCATTTCATGAGTCTCCCCATTTAGTTGAATAGAGCACTTGGACCCGGAAGCCGATTCGCGTGACGTCACACTTAACAAGCGGATAGTGTGTCCACAGTCATATTGGAGTGATATAAACATGATAATCTTTTTTTTTTTTTTTTTCCCGACGCTAAAATAGGATCCAAATTCCAGTGATTATGAGGCTGGTCACAACATGATGTAGGAGTGCGGTTTCCCCGCCCACCAAGTTGATTGACAGGTGCCATGTTTAAATAATAACATTTATCCACGTCCACAGAACATGTATTTGCAAATAAACTAAGATTAAAATATCTGTTCTGACTCTCTGTGTTTTTATAAGTTTTATAAGATTAAAACATTTTTAAAACAGAGCATGTTTGTAATAAAGGCAGTAAAATCTTAACCGATATAATCACCACTGCCGGATGGTGTCAGTAAACGCAAATATGTGTGTTTGTGTGTGTACTGTAAACAGCAATTGTGTGAGACTCATCATTTCAGAAAGGCTTGAATAAACTTCACTACAAATAGATCAAATAAACTGACGTGGTATTTTTGACTAATGAGCTGTTTTTCAGCTTCATCTGTGTCAGTCTCTATCACTGACTGCTGTTTATCTGACGTAATGCATGATGAGAGGCAGAAACGCATGTGGGAATGGTGGGCGGAGAGAAGCAGCTTATTTGCATTTAAAGCAACAGGCTATGAAATTAGCCACACTGTACTCAGACACCAAAATGGGCAGATTCTGGAGGCTTTAATAAATAATCTGATGAGTATTTTAAGCTGAAACTTTACAGACACATTCTGGAATCACCAAAGGCTTTTCTTACATCTTGTAAAAGGGCTAAAATAGGTGCCATTTAACCAGGGCCGGAGCAAGCTGAACTGCCGCTCTAGGCAGAGGACGGTCACGCCGCCCTCAACCCCAATGTGAAAACGAAAGTGACCGGTTATGAAAATGAAGTGAGGTGTCGCTGACCTCTATTCTGCCACCCTATGCGCGGATATAACTGAGGACGCACGGCTGCTGAGGGAGGGAGGGAGGAGTCGCGGATGCCGCCCTCTCTACTCTGCCGCCCTATTCCTATAGACTGAGGACGCGCGGCTGCTGAGGGAGGGAGGGGGGAGTCGCGGATGCCGCCCTCTCTACTCTGCCGCCCTATTTCTATAGACTGAGGACACGCGGGCGCTGATGGAGGTGTCGCCTTTGCGCGAAGATATCTGAGGACGCGGGTGGTGAGGGAGGTGTCGCGGACACAACTGAGGATGCGGGTGGTAAGGGAGATGTTATCTGTACTGCCGCCCTGCATTTAACTAATTTTAAGTTAATCAGGTTCCAACTAAAAAGTTTAACTTGATATTTGATATTTGAAAAGTCCTTTTGATTCAAATAAAAATGCTATATATAAATTTTATATATAAATAAAATAATATTATTGAATATATATACATTTTTTTTTCAGTGGATTTAATTATTTAATTAAATTTAGTCATTAAAGTGAAAATGATATGATAGCGCAACAATAAGCTAGCTAATATATGTTAATTTGTTTTATTTGATTTGTTGGCTTGTTTTAATTACGTAGTTCATATGGTTGAGCAAGTGATGAATATCATTACCAGGCAATAACTGTTTATTAAAATAGGTATTAGTGATGCAAAAAACATTTTTTGATCTCCTGAAGAACCGTTCAGTAATTTCATTGTTTTTAAAAGGGATATTTAATGCTGTATCATGCATTTCCAAAAACAATTTGGACATAACATTCCATAATTGGAGTATTTTGTTTTGACTGATTTCCTGCAGAGGGCGGCACGGTGGCTCAGTGGTTAGCACTGTCGCCTCACAGCAAGAAGGTCACTGGTTTAAATCCCAGCTGGGTTAGTTGGCATTTCTGTGTGGAATTTGCCTGATGTTGGTCTGGGTTTCCTCCGTGTGCTCCGGTTTCCCCCACAGTCCAAAGACATGCGCTATAGGTGTATTGAATGAACTAAATTGAGTGTGTGTGTAAATGAGTGTATAGGTGAAAGGTATCCACTGTGTAAGACATATGCTAAAATAGTTGATGGTTCATTCCACTGTAGCGACCTATGATAAATAAGAGACTAAGTCGAAGGAAAATGAATAAATTAATGATTTCCTTAAAATCTTACTTCCAGATGGTAATGAGTTTCAAAAAAAAAAAAAATAGGTTACGTAACCAAGAGCGGAAATCATTTAAATGCATATCTAAAAAATCTAAAGAACTCTTTGTGCAGCTTAAAAGCACAAGTTCAGCAGATCACTAAAGATGCATGTTCTCTGAGTCAGAAGCCTGGACCTGTGATGCACTTTTCTGAAAGTGTGGTCACAATCCACTGTCACTGCAGCTCAAGCATTTCAAAGCTCAAGCAAGTCAAATGAGTTGAGAAAAACATACGGTTGAGTAACTCTTTAAAGCTGCTGGTGAAGTACTCAAGAACCCAGAAAGGAATTCCTAGTAGTCCGCTGTTTGAATATGTAAATGAGGTGTGTGTGTGTTTGTTTATACATTGCATAACACAGCAATTAAGGTTTCTGAACACACACTGTTCCTCTAGGCCTCCTGTTTCCATCCATCCACAACCTGCCGGGAAAAAAACCCTTCATACCTAAACTGTGCCAACGAAGAACATTAAAGGTATTTTTGAAGCACCACAGTGGAGTATACACTAAAGACTCCAAGGAAATAGTTTGAGCTTTTTAGTAGTTAGTATCTTAAAAATGATTTTACTGACCAAATCAAGTGCAAACTATGATGCAAAATATTTTAAATATCAATGAATACGCAGTGGCGCAGTAGGTAGTGCTGTCGCCTCACAGCAAGAAAGTCGCTGGTTCGAGCCTCGGCTGGGTCAGTTGGGGTTTATGTGTAGAGTTTGTATGTTCTCCCTGCGTTTGCGTGGGTTTTCTCTGGGTGCTCCGGTTTCCCCTACAGTCCAGAAACACGCAGTACAGGTGAATTGGGTAGGCTAAACTGTTCATAGTGTATGTATGTGCGTGAATGAGTGTTTATGGGTTTCCATGAGATGGGTTGCGGCTGGAACGGCATCCGCTGCATAAAAACATGTGCTGGATGAGTTGGCGGTTAATTTCGCTGTGGCAACCCCAGATTAATACAGGGACTAAGGCGAAAAGAAAATGAATGAATAAATGACTTAATAAATATTAATATGCATTAAATATTATGACATTATACCAAAGAAATTAATATTTAGGATTAAATATTCGCTCCTTTTTCTTACACAGTTACTGGTGACGGTTGAGCAAACAATGAAAAATACATTTATTACAGTATTTCTTCATCTTTGTTAGAGTTAATTGTTGTTATTTAAGTTGTTAATACACTAATAAAAGTTAAAGCATGATTAATAAATGCTGTAGAAGATTTTCCATAGTTAGTTCAT